TTTTTGAGTATAGCTTACCCGTATTAACTTAATATATTATCTTTTTTGAACTTTGATAAATAAAAGGGCCTCAAACTCTTCTCAGTGCACCACAAATTGCGTTTCCGAGCGGGTTGCGCTGATGAGCTCTGTGAATTGCATACTTCGCGGCGCAGACTTTTCAACCTGCCACGGACGCCGCCCATCAGTTATTTGTCTCGCGCGGCATTGTTTGTCTTGCGAGTTGGCGCTGCAAGCTCCGCAGTTGCCTCATTTGCTGCCGCCTCTTTAATGTGTGGGTAAATGCGACAAAATCAAGTTAACTGCCAGCATTAACGCACATGCAACGCTAACCGAGAGAGAGAAAGAGAGAGCAAAAAACTTTGCCAACTAACTGGGTTTAGCAGCGTAAATGAAATTTGCCAAAATGTGAGCCCCACAGAGCCGGCATCGAATTATGCTGCCATCAGGCGGATTTTAAATCAATTGGGTGGGCCAAAAGCTGCGTGACAAATAAACCTAAGCGGAACGACCACACTGCGTATGCGCAATCTGCAGCCGTGGCAGCTGCTCCAAATGCCACTAAAGCTGTTGCTGCTGCTGCTGCTTTTCCTGATGCTGCTGCTGCTGCTGAAGCGATTAGGCTGCCCAGACCGTCACACGACCACGAACCCTTTGTGCGGAGCATTATCTGCGTGGCCACTTGAGCGAGTCAAAGGGGCACTTTGATCTCGGTGCCCCATCCCTTCAACCACCTGAGTTTCAACCAATCTCAGACCCATTCCGACACGTTGAATAATAGTAGAGTTGATTTGAAGTTACCATATAAGTCTCAGTCTTAAGTTGTGTCATTCCATACGACCATTTTTGGACAAACTACTTATATTTTTGGGCCAAAATCCAGTTAGCGATTGATTAACAAAATTAGTCTTCTGTTTTGGGTTTTTACTCATAAATTGGTCAAAACAGAACTTACAGATAAAAGAAACACAGATTTGTGTAGCTAACGACCCAAACTTACGATTTGTATCATTGTATGACTGATTTCGGAAATTTAATAAAGGGGTTACATCATCAAAGTTTGTGAAAAATTTACCAAAAAATACATTTTAAGGTGTGAAAACAGTTTTATTAGAAATTTTATTACGAACTCAACGAGATATGGCATTCTTTGCTACGACCATTTTTGGCATTGTTATGGACAAAAGGAGAAGGAAAAATCTGAATAACGATTCTTAAGTTTTTTAGTTAATTTTTCCATTTCGCACATCAAAATTTGCAAAAATGGCTACAAATTTACATTTTGAAGTGTCCAACGCCAGCCCAGTCGACTATAGATTTTATTATGAATCCAACGAGGTATTACATTCCATATTTTCACCATTTTTTGCCATTGTTTTGAACAAAAAACTCAGTTTTTGTGCGAAAAATCATAATGCCGAGAAATCAATATTGGCAATATTTGTTCTAGGTTTTTATTCATAAATTGGTCAAAACAAGACAGAGGGCTACAGGAACGGATGTTTTGTTCCAAAACATTTACTATCAAACCAAATTTACCATTTTTATCATTGTCTGACTGATTTCGGAAACTTCATATTTTGGCTAATTTTTGCTTCTTCGGTAAGGGGTTACATCATCAAAATGCGCTAAAAATTACCGAAAATTACATATTGAGGTGGGAATACCAGTAGACTAGAAATTGATAATTGATTGAGTCCAATAAGTTATTACATTTTTTTATTTTGATAATTTTTTGGCATTATTATGGATAAAACAGACATAAATAAACATAATTTTCACAGGAATATTACTTAATCTTGATTTTAAGGAGAAACATATGAACCAGTATTTGAACTTAAAAAAATATATAGATAATATATAGATGACAAAGTTAGGTAATTAAATATTGTAAATATTATAGACAGAATTTTTTGCAGTGTGTAAGTCCAGTACAATCTTGATTGCCTTCGGCCATCAGGCTCTTCATGTTGTGGTCACTAAGCAATGGATATGGACACCTGATTGAGGGCGAAGTACTTGAAGTTTGCATTTGGCCATAATGGCGGATGCAGCTAATGCACTGATTAGCTAGTTGCACACACACACATATACACGCACTCACACTAACTTAGGGAATGGGTATCCTTTGAGTTCGGTGCGAGTATTTCCAATAATTAAACAATCCCCCAATGCCGAAGTGGATGCAACCCCACTTGAATCCATTGAATCGAACCGAATCGCATTGAATTGAATCGAATTCAATGGAGAATTTGGCAGAGCGATGGGGGAACTTCAAGTGAGTGGCATGTTGCACTTTAACTGGTTTTCGCCGGCAGGGGCTTACCGCCACCCACTCACTATCGTTTGCCACACTTTTTGTTTTCATCATCATTTTTTTCCCCTCTTTCTTTGCGTATTTTGTTTTTTTTCTGCCGTGTCGGTACAAATCAATTTATGCCCGGCCAACGTTTGAACAATTTCTGTTTCTGTTTCGGTTTCCGTTTCTGGTTCTCTTTGTGCAATTGACGGGCCAATAATTAAGCCGGAGCCCAGGGAAAACGCTTGGAAAACGCATGGAAAACGTTATATACGTACCTTTGTCCCTCTGGACTGTCTGTCTAGCTGTCTCTCCGTGCACCGGTTATGTGGCATGTTCTTATGACTCTCGGCTGTCGTTGCAAAGTCAATTTCCTTGCTTATTTAAATTTCAAAGCAAATGACAGAAGGTGTTGTTGCGCTGCCACAAACTGGATTAAATTTCGTTTAAAATGTAAATGGAAAAAAACGTGATGGACAGGTTTGGGCTTTTGCCGCCTGAATCGTATCCAAATTGCGTTTACAACGGCGAAACATCAAGAAAAAAAAGAGAAGGAAAAGAAATCCAAAAATTCGAGAGCGGCACCGAACGCAGGAAAAACTAAACAAACACCTCATCAAAGAACATCAAAGGCCGCCCCCCCTGAAAAACAGGAAAAACCCCAACAATAACCAGGAGGGGAGAAAAATCAAAAAAATGTAAAGAAAAGCTAAAGGAAAAAAAGAAAAGGTGGTTCGTTGAAGAAAGGAAAACATTTTGGTGCGCACGACGCAGAAAATAAAATCAAGAATTTCACACCTTATCAATTTTGCTAGATTAACAAAACGAACAATGGGGTGGGCCATACACCACCACCCACTCTCGCCAGCCAGGGAAATTGCATCATCAACGTCCTTGCCGCATTGTGATCGACATCATCATCATCATCATCTTCATCTTCTTCTTCTTCATCCTCTGGATGCAGGAAAGCCAACGTCACCGCACTTTGTCATTAAGGAAGTCAAAAACTTCGACCCCAAATCAGGGGGATGATACGTACCCTGTCTCCCTCCTTCCTTCTTCTTTTTGGAAAAGCTTGGAAAAACTGTAAGCGATTGGGGGTAAACTCGGTTTGGCTTTGTGTGACAGCAACGTTGACATTTATTTTGATTTCAGTTTCGAGTGCAGGACCTAAGTGGGTGAACTTTCTATTTCCCTTCATCTGTTATCCACTCCAACCTGTTTAACAGCCCCTGCCTTTGATGCACTGAACAAAAATGCAATTAACTAACAATTTGTTACTAATATTTGCCTCTTATTATATAAAATATTTTTAATGGAAGAAAAAAGAAGGCCACTCCCTTTCATTCTTCTATTGAAAAACCAATCATAGCTCATATATTTCTCTGAAACTCATCCACATTTTCTCCCTGTGCACTCATGCTAATGTGCATCAGCTCCTGGCTTAGATTTCCACTCAGGGGATGGCCTTTTTACTTGGTGTCGCTGCCACTAAATTGAATTTTATGTGGCGAATGCCAACTTTGATGTGTGCCTTTATTAATGGTTGCTGGGAACTGTCAGCCGGGCTGACTCCTCTATGAACTGTTAACAAGAATGAGAATGGGGTCTAAATCAGCACTGATATAGCTCTAGAGCGGGAGAGTTTACGGTAATTGCAGCACAAACAGGGGCGAAAAACTTGAGAGTCGGGCATGTAAATTCAATGAAATATGGCTGGCAAAAATGCCTCGCATAAGCAACGCCTCAAAATGCCAGCAATGTCCTCGCCGTCGTCGTTGTTGTCCCGCTGACCATCTGAATATCCCATCCAACCATGTGACCATGTGGGGGCATCTGACCAGCGGCAGGAAAAGTTCAGCCATTGAACGGCAGCTTGGAATTCCAGGCATAACTTCCAGCAGCAACGAGCAGACGAGCATATGTAAAAAGCGGAGCCAGCCAGCGACACATAAGTACACACGAACACACATTGCTGGCGGGTTTCCATGACACGAAAAAAGAAAAGCGTGCTCTAGAAAAAAAAAAAACAGAAAATGGAATGGAATGGAAAATCTAGCCCAGCCAAGTCTCTAAATTGTGTGGCCCTAAAAGTGTCCGGCGGCACATAATGCTTACAGAAAGGCCACTGGAAAGAAAACTGATAAGTTGCCCTTGAAATTAAATAGTTACTATGTTGTTACTAAGGTAGTTAGTAGCAATGATATATGTGGAAAACTTAAAGAACTGCCTTACTTTTATTCTAAATATTCCTTCCAAAAGGGCTCGGAAAATTCTTAACTAAATTTGAAGTAACTTTACTCCTTACACCTACTTTAACTTCACTTTCGGACTTTTTAACGTATTATTTAAGTCTAAAACTATATTCGCCATATTTCTCTAAGTGCATACCAACTCACACGCTCGCACACACACACACACACACGCAAATCTGTCTGTGTCCTTGCCACATGCAACGTCTGCTGTAGCTAGAGAGCTGGAGCTGCTGTTGTTGCCCAATGGCCGCAAGGAATTTCACACAATTGCTAGAAAAATTGCAGAAAATTGAAAATGTGCGAGAGCGCATAAATTTTTACTGCGTCACTTGTGAATGCTAAATTGTTGTTATTTATGTGGGCACTGTAAAACCAAGGTCCTCCCGTTTAGCCCCTTAATCCCCCTTCACTGCCACTCCAAAAGAAGATAAAATCTGTGGAAAGAGTTAAAGATACAAATCGATTTCATTTCAAACATTTCTTTGATGTCTGTCACTGAGTTTTGTTACTGACTTTCAGTATCAGTTTGAAATCAAAACCAAAGTCAGTAACAAAACCCAGCAACAGCAGGTTCAAGGTCACAGGTTTAGCTAAAGTTCGCCAAAAATAAAACTTTACGATTATCAATTTTTATAGAAGTCCTCGCTTAAGAACGTGCAAGCCATTTCGGGCGAAAATTTGAAAGAAACTGCAGCCAAAATGAGCCAACGACGAGACGATCATCAGGCTAACGCCCAAGGATATGGCTTCATCCTGATGGCTTTCCAGCCAGTTGAGCAACTTCCGAGCAGGTTGCATTTGCAGCATCTGCCTCTCAGCCGCATGTTCCGAGCATGTCTGTCCATAGAAAAGTATATAAGATACCTGCATGGTATCCGCATCCTTGATGATCACATGCCTTTTATCGGGACTAGTTTCATTGTCCTGGAAAACAAATTCCACCACAACCACACATCGAAGAATTGATCCACATCGGGAGCCACCCAAGCCAGCTTGGGGCTTACTTCTAGCCAGGGCTTCATTGACATCGCTAGTTAGCTCTAGCCTTCTCCCGTTTGTTAGGGTATTACTATTGAGCAGGGCATATAGCTTTTCCAACTTGCAACCATAGAAGCCCAGGCGAACGGATTCCTTGTTTTGTTGCCTCAAACGGGCATAGGCTTCACTTTTCTGGTTTCCTCGACCCATTCGCACCTCAAAGATCTGGGTGGGTCGTTGTTTAGGTGCTGGCATACCCAAATGGGCATACAACTCCTCGAACTCACAAGGTCGCAGGGTGCTCAAGGACACGAGATCGGCTTGATCCACCAAGACGTCCGTCAGCAAACGGACCACCTTGGGTGAGCAAGCCTGATAGTCGCCGTGCATGAGCTGTTCTTGCAGTACATCTAATCTGGGTGTATTTCCAACGGTATTACACAGCAGATCTATGCTATTCCAGCGACTGGGAAGTGGTCTTAACCGCGTCCTATAACGATAACTCCAAGTGGCGGCCATGAAAATGGTCCACAATGCCTCACAGCCTAGGAAATCGTCCTGAAGACGTCGCTGTACCTGATTAAGTTCTTTTAAATTCGATGATCCCGAGTTGGGTTGTGGGAGAAGGGCGGCTAAGCGTCGCCAGTTGATCAACTTGGCTGGCCTGTGACTTTGAAATCCCACGGATGTGGCTCCTGTGAGCAGAGTCATTTTCACTCGATTTTGATTTCCCTTCAGAGAGACTGAAATTTTGAAATTGTTTCGCAGAGTTTTTCGGCAAGCCGTCGGGCATCAATCTAAGCCTCCGACAATCTCGACAATCGAATGAAGTGTGTCGCCCAGGTGGCAGGTCGGATGAATGCCCCGCACTGGTTGCAGGAGATTGAATTTTGTCCTGGAAAATGCACTCAAAGAAAGAACTTGGAGATTTTGGTTGCGTTTTCTAAGAATATTTATTAGCATTCGAAAAAATTAGCAATTTTTGACAAGCAATTTTGACATTTAAGTCGTATTCGTGAGACTTATTTCTAATTTAAAGATAACCTTTAGACTTACATCTAGTTTCTTCCAGTGCCTGCATAGTAACAGTTGGCAAGTGTGATCTCCGGATGGGTTATGGTTGGGTAACTGCTGTGGGTGGTTGCCTGGTTGGGCTGTAATTGATTAATGGAGCCTGATGTCGAATGCCTGATGCCTGCTGTCTGCCACTTGATGCCTGACGCTCACCTTATGTTTTGGGGGTGACTTAACCTGGGACCGAGATCCGAGATGAGATGAAGCAGCCACCCCTCCAGATTGGGTTGGAATGGTCAAAGTTGCATCATACTCATACTACCAGACATAGCTACGCAGTTAATTGGATACTTTTTCAATACTTTTATCTCTGGCAGCAAAACCCCGGCCATCGGGTCTCTCCACCTGCTGCTGCATGCGTAATTTATTGATATACTCCCGCTAAATTATGAGTCTCCTGGGGGGCGCGAGAACGAAATAATTTTTTTGTTTTTCCCACTCTCTTTTCTCTGTGTGAAAAAGCCAGTGAACAAAAGTGGAGAGGCTGCAGGTGGGTCTGTGTGGAAATCAGTTAACCGAAAAAGTTTGCAACTTTTTGCCGTGCCGTGCTCGCCTGCCTGTGAAATCAAAGTTGGAGTTTATTCAAATAAACGCCGACATTAAGAGAGTTGCAACTGTTGCGTTGCGTCGTTGAAGGCGTCTCCTGGCATTCGGCGGCATAAATCAGAGCCCAAACAGCCGTGGCAACTTTTCTTCCCCCCCATCCCAGATAAACTTTTGACGTCATTTAACCCTCTTTTTTCTCGTTGGCGGGTTTTTTTTTCGGGGGTGCCTGCTGCAATGTTATTAATATGGCTAAGTTTCTTTTGGCGTTGTCAATTCCCCAAAGGCGCTTCCTTGCTAAATAATTCCAGTTGCCATCGATTTCCCGCCACCAGGAGAAACGAATGTCTTTAAAGGATTCCCTTTCCGTTTATTACTCACTAAATGAGGGACCATTTTCATATGCTTCTGGTAGGCAAAGTGTGGCAAGCAGAAGGGGTAGGCAGAGATAGGAAAGTTACATTAGAAAGATAAGAAGATGTTAAGGGAAGGACCAGTTTGTAAGATGAACTTTGGGGCAATGTAAATGTCATTAAAATCAGCCAAATTAGCTAAGAATTTATAACTAATTTCAGTGATTTCAAAACTGTTTAATGCTGATATGATGACTGGGTTGCTTGCCGCATTTCAGTTACCAGAATATCTCGAAATCCAATCCCTTAACCTTAAGCAAATTAAAAACTGGAGATAGATAAATATGACTTCACGGACTCCACGATCCTCTCCACGTAGATGCTGTTGTTGTGCAGGACAAAGAGCAGATTTCGCAGCGGCAATGAGTTCTGAAATGCAGAAGATGAAACGTGAATCAGTGCGGCGAAATCAATTATCACAAACACTCTCCATCGAATTGCTGATATAAATATATATGGGTTTCTGCACGGGGAGAGGGAGGCGGTGACTGGGTGAAAATAAATATAAATTGCCTGCTGGCTGGCGATTTGATTTCATAAATATGTGCCTCACGTAGCCCAGCTCAATTGCCAATTAGAAGCGAGGCGAAAGAAAAAAAAAAGCAGTTGGAAAAACAGGCGCGGGGAGGATGAAGAAAAACATAAGAAAAAACATAAAAAGAAAAGAAGGCGGGCGGTGGCACTTGAAAATTCTGAGGCATCAACGGAAGTTGATTTGTATACGGAATCGCATATAAAAGTTGCCCACTTTTAACCTGCACCTTTTCCACGGCCAAAACTCAATAAAGCAATCGGAAATTTTTCTCACGTCCCTTTGGGGAAAATTATTATGGAGCTCCCTGGCAGTTGCGGACGGCCGTTTCAAATGGAATTCCTTTAAACAATTTTCCCCCCAAAAAACCCAATACAGAGTCCGGGAATCGGGCGAGCAAACAAAGCGTGTCCCCAACTTTAAATACAATTACCACATGGGGGACTTTGGATTTTCCGACTCACCTGCAGACCGCTCAAAATTTTGGCAAACTTCGGACTGCTAATGCTGTCAACAAAGGCGGCAAACTGTTTGTTGCTCTCGAACTCGTCGAAAAATAGGGCGTACAGTTGGTCCTGCGGCAGGATCTCCAGGACCCTCTCCACCATGCCATGGAGGCCAGTCTGTGGTTCGCTGGTGGAGGAACTGCCATCTTCGGTAGTTGCAGCTTTGATGGATTCTAAAAATTACAAGATTTATGATTTTTGGTTGTGAGAACCATAAGTACCAACACTCATACGCACCGTTGACAACAGTCGAGTCCAGAATGGAAGGCTTAAATACACCTGCCACAGAATGCATCACCTTGATCACATCCAAGCCATGAGCACCCAGATAGTCGACGAACTCCACTACTTCAGGGAGATGCAGAATCTTTCGTTTGATATCCGCAAAATCATTGCTGGCCAGGAAGCCATAGGCTTTTTGGAACGCTGCATCATTGTGATAATATTGAGCAGCTATGGACTGGACTTCTTGCAACGGAATCAATGCCACAAAGGCGCTCAAATCAACGGAGTTGTTAGAGGCGATTGGCTTCTTGCGACTCAGGAAAATCAAATCATCGGATGCATTGCCTTGACCACTTTCGTCACTCTCATCGCTGGCAGTTCCGTCGAGGGTCACGAAACCAATGCCACTCACATCCGATTCGTCACTATCCGGCTTGATCAATTCGTCGTGAGGAAAACCCATCGAAAGGGAAATTCCAGCAAAGCAAATGACTAAAATGAAGAGGTGTTTCCGATTCATAGCGACGATGTGATCTTCTGCAGCGGCTCTGAACTTCTGGTCGTCTTTTCATGGGAGACCTTTTTTGTCCAACGCTTTTTGGAGACTTTGGAGACTAGCCCAGACTCTGACAAGCATTTTGTCCCACCGATTATTTAATTTAATCAACGCCAGTCAACAACAAAAAATTAACACTTAGCTGGTGGAGGGGAATTCATGACCGAGGTGCAGCTAAGAGAGGTCACAACACTGTAACAAATGAGTGGAGATATTGGAGTTTTAATTTGGGAGATTAAGGTTTAATTAATGGGACTTTAAGCTCTATATGTTAGGTGATAAATATTCTTTTAAGTGCTTCTCAAAGCTGTAGTAAATAATACATAGACTCGTAGCCTTCGATTAGGCCATAAAATATGACTTAAAGCCACAGAACCCCCCGCTTCGTCCTCGTAAATTATCCGAATGGTTGGGTTTCCTGTGGGCATTTTGGACAACTGCATTTCCGCCAATGCAAATCAAAGAAAACCCCTCTTTGCTGGTATGTGTTTGAGTGTGATATTCACACTTTGACAGCTGGCGGGAATGTCACCCGCTTAGTCACTGCATCTGTGTGTGTGTCAGTCAGTCATTCTGTCATTCAGTCAGTTAGTCAATCGCTCAGACACCCATTCAGGTTTTCATTCTCGTTTCCAGCTCGCTCGCTCTTGTCAAACTGTGCATAAAATATGTACATGCATATGTCCCAGGAACATACCATATAGTCCAAAAACACACTCAAACTCACTCACATTCCGGCTGATATATATTCATTTGCTCATTCAGCAAGTTAAGTAGGAATAAAATTGTCAATTTTCATGTCATTATTTCATGTCGTCGTCGCCGTTTGCCTCATGCCACCAATGCCTCCTCATGCCCCATGCTCACTTTCGCATGTGTCAACTGTGACACTCTCATCGTCGTTGTCGGCTGTGTATTTCCAGATATGATTTATTCACTTGGCTTGATTTATTACACGACCACCACCAGCCGCAGCCGCAGTAGCAGTAAATTGTTCTGCCTACAACGAAAACCAATAATAATTGTATCGTCGTCAACGTCACCCGTACCGAACTTTAGTTGCAACACAATTTTTTACATAAATTATTTGACTAAGCCCACAAACTTGATTAAAAACTTGTCCTAGACTACAGGAGGAGTTGTCTCGGGCTTTTCCGTTCCCCCGTAACGTAACGTATGACACTTTATGAATTTGGAGCGCAAACTTTCGAGGGCTCAAACTTTGCCGGTGTCGGTTTTGGTCGTAGCCGTAAACAATTGGCCAGGCCAGTTATCCTGCACTTTAAGAAATTTTAATTAATTAGGTTTTAAGTTGGTTAAAATTGTTTAATTATTATTGCGTTCATAGTCGTGGATCAGTGAAAGTTTATCAATAGAAAAGTAATCGATTTCAGTGTGTAAAAATGTGATTTGATTTTGTATTGAGTTGAAGTTCTACACAGGTTCAACATCTTTCAGTTTGATTTGAAAACAAGTTTAAAGCTTCATAGATCCTTCATCTTTCAGGGCAATCCCTGCATCACAGCTTTTTGATTATTAGTTAAAAATACTCCCATTAATAAAACCCATTTTCCCGGAAGCCCCATGTAAGTTTTCTCCAAGTGTGTGCAGCGGACCGAACTTAAAAATTAATTTTGCCCCACCAGAATACTTCAGTGAGCTCCTGGCATACCTCAGCTGCCATAAAGGTGGCGTCGGCCCAACTTGGCGGCGACTTAATTAACTGCAGTCCGGCCAAGTCAGCGGTACACACGCACCTGAGACCAACTAAGAGTGAGAGAGAGAGAGAGAGGGTAGAGAAGTTATAAGGTTGCAGGGACGAAGTGCATCCTGGCAGGACGTGGAGGCCAGTTAATTTCATGCTGCCTGGCTTCTACCCTCGAACGGCATGTGTTTTAAAGTGATTTTCTTGGCCAGGCGCCCCTTTGTTTATGTTGCGGCATAAGAGCTCCGCTTTACCGCAAGTGTCAACATTTATTTCCAACTTAACACTTTTGGCGTAACATGGCGCTTAATCCGCGGCGCCAAGTCGAGCCGCGCCAAGAACTTGACTAATTTTGTGCAAAGTTCAGCATTAACATTACCGCAAATTAGCAAAAGTTTTCGCACAAACAGCCGCAGCGCAGGAAAACAAAACGAAAAAAAGCATAAAATAAGAGAAAATCAGAGGAGAAACGAGGAAAACAAGGGGAGGTGGAGTTCTGGTGGAGTAGTAAATCCGATTGCAGGGATTGCATGGTGGGAAATCCTTAGGCGTAAAGGGGGTAGAGCAAAGGAGGGTAGCAGGGAGCACTTTGAGTTGTGGCATCAGCAGACGTTGCCTGTAGTATCTGGGATGGTTCACTGACTGCCATAAATTAACTTGTCTAGGCCCGATTCCTTGGCAGGCCTTGCCTTGTCCCCAAAACTTCTTGCCAGCTCCTTACCCTGCCGCCTCTTAATACTTCTTTTTTGCTCTTGTAATCTGTTTCACACTTAATGTTTTCTCTTTTTCCCAGTTTGGTTTCCACTTTAGTTGCACGTAGGAAAAACTGTTGTTTAATTGGTTACATGTCTGCAGAATCGAAGTGTCAGCAGATTAGTTAGATACTTAAAACAAGGAAGATACACAACATAAACAAGTTGAATTGGATTTTATTTAAACAAGTTGCAGGTTTCTTTCATGCTTTCAAACCAGAAAATTCTACAAAATTTAAAAAGGATTTCCATAAATGGGAAGGAAGCTAAAATAAATACCTATTTATATGTGACATTTTGGTCCCTTACTGTGACGTTTTGATTACGATATGGGTTATTTATAGATGGACAGATCAATCGATGTGTACTTTATCCACGCTGACTTCTCCCCGTCAGTTGTCAATCAATTTTTTGGGTTTCGGCTTTGATTTCCATCTGCTGCCGCTCCTGCTGCTGCTGCTGCTGCCCCTTGCGAAGGATGTCAGTAAACCGTAACAAAAACAGAAATTATGTCCTTACACACAGGTCATCGTCAACGGCCGTCTGCCGCCTGCGCAACCTTCAATCAATTGGGGTTTTTGCGGATTTTTGGTGGGAGGGATGTATAGCCCAGCAGTAGGGGATTTCCCTCCTTACCATCCTTCAGATTGAAGAGCACAGAGTGTTCCAGCGCTTTTGACACGTTTGGCAAATATTTGAGCACGTCTAAAAGCGCGTTACGGTCTCCAGCAGGCGTTCAATATTTTTGCAGAGCGAAAAGCAGCAGCAGCAGCCTCAGATGACCGATTTCCATCGCTTTTCTGCTGGCCCCACTTTACCAGCAAGCTAGCTAGCCACCTCCCAACCCAACCATCGCATGGCAGTGCGTGCTTTGCCCTTGGCCTGTGGCTTAATTAATTTTCGCTTCCGTTAACAATTTTTATGCGGACTTGGCTCCTTGGGAGCGCTTCGCATGCGCTGATTTCGTGTTTATGGGTCCTTTAATTCGCCACTAATACGGCTCCGTTTGCGGCGGAATTATTTGCCGGATACATGCGATTAGTTTTGCCCAGATTGCGAATAGTTTTTGCCAGTTTTCTCTCGCCCCTCTCCCTCCACCATTTTGCAAGCGTGCAACAAGTTAATTACATAATTTTCGCCTGCCCACGCCTGCACTTGCTTCTCTGATATTTATGTTGGGGCGAAGGACTTCCGGCATAAACCAAATAAACACTAAATTCCGGTTAAATAGGCAACGACAGCAGCAACGGCGCTAGAAACTTGGTCAAAAGAAATATAAAATAAAATTAAATAAAATAAAATAGCAAAGGCGAGAGCAGCAGGAGTAGCATCGACAAAAAAAGGAGACTTAAAAAATAAGCTAAAAGTCTTTTGAAGTTGCCAAAGTAAAAGCAGGGGTAAAAATGCTATGGAGGATGGGAAAAAGCTGGCAAACAGCGCGATATAAAGTTGGGGCTTTTTGGCTTTGACGCACGTAGCTCCCGATTTGAAAGTTTGTCGTGTGTGCTCAGTATATATATATATATATATATATATATATGAACAACAAGGAATCGACAGAAATGTCCTGGCACTCCTCGCAACGCTTTTGAGTTTGCTGCATCGCTTTTATTAAGCTTATAAATTTTTTATTTAAGACTTTTCACTTTGAGCAGTTTTGTGCAAGCCTCGGGCCAAAAATGGCAAACAGCAACACAGCAGCACACCGACAGTCATGTGACATTTATTTGAGCTGCGCCAGGAGCATTTCAATTTCACATTCGAACAACAGCTAACACCAGCTTATACACCATTTCCCGGTAACTTAACCCATTGTGGCCCATAAATTATACAAAAATAGTTAATGCCAAAAATTGTGAAATAGTGTGACACTTTCATTAAATGCCCAAGAGCGCTGAATAAATGGAGAATTTCAATAAAAATGCCAAAATCCACTGGCCACGACATGCGATGCGAAAACATTTGATAAACTGCAACAATTTCCCCAAGGGTTTTCCACTCTTTTCCCCCTCTCTTTTTTACTATTTTTTATGGCAGCCAAACTGCCTGTATTAGGTTGGGGAAAATATATATTTTAGCTGGAAATGCGACTAAATCCATATGGAGTTTATTCGATTTGATTTGTGGCCTCCTGCTAAACTTTTCAAACTAAAAATTTTACCAATTTCGACCATTTTGATAATAAGATGCCGGACGGCGTTTATTTGTGTAGGCGTACATGGAGAGAAATTAGTGGTTAGTATGAATATTAATTGCCTTATATGTGGGGCAAAAGATAATATAGATTAAGGCATAAATTTAGCTTTTAATTTTATTTGAAATCTGAAATAAAAACAAAATCAAGGTTTTTTTTGGGGTAAATCTCACAGATTTGGCATTTTTAAACATATTTTAGTGTATTTATTTTTAATAAATTTAAAGAACATATTAGCTATGATTATATGATATATGTATATTTTATATATTATATTTTCCTTTAAAGAAAAGCTGCTCTCTTGATCTAAAAAATATATATTTGTGGAATATAAGTACAAAAAGTTTCTTATTTACTTACATAAATCAATCTATCTTTTCGTTATAATCGTTTATTTTATATTTCTACTTTAAATTTTATTTTATTTATATATTTTTTATTTTATTAAAATATCTCCCTGTGTAATATGTCAGTTTGTAGGGTCCTAAAAAAGCATCACGTGGTGCATATAAATTGCCAGGTTTCGAAACTTTTTCCTAGAGGTGCAAATTACTTTTGTTCTTTTCTGTTTGCTCTCGGCGTATTTTTGCTCATTTTTTTTAATATATTTTTCTTGTTTTTTGCTTTTTTTCTACCTTTTACCTGACAACTGTCAAGCATCGAATTGACCAGAGTTTTCGGGATTGCCTAAGCGTGCGTGTGAATGACCAAAAACTGGACATGGACGCACAAGTATTTATAGCAGACTATCGCATGTGCCAACGAATACGAGTATATATAGATATATGTATGTATGTATGTGGTCAAAGGAAATCAATTTCCATATGCAAAACTTTTTTAGTGCACGTACTGGACGACAGAGAGAGAGAGAGAGAGAGAGGGAGCCGAAATCGAATTTTGTCCATAAAATATTCAAATTGTTCTGTATAAACGACGCATAAACATTCTTTGTGCAGGGCACCTGCAGCTCCCATACAGCCATTCCCAATTCTCCATTCCCCATTTTCCCACTTTTCCCATTTCGATCCCGCTCGAAACGCATAAATTTTTATGTTCAAATGCCAAAGGCCGTAGGCAGGCGATCGCTTAATGTGTCCCGCGGCAGAAATTCAATTTGTAGCACATCCGTGGCCGAAAAGGAAAGGTACAAAAAAGAACACTCAGTTAAGAGAGAGGAGAAAAAGTGCAAATGCGAAAAAAGTGCAAATGTCCAACTGGCCAAGGACCAAGGAGAAAGGAGCAAGGATCCAAACAAACCGAAACAAAACAAGAGCAAAAGTTCTCCCCGAGGAGACACAGGCCAACTGCTTTGGCTGCTACTTTGCTATGCGAACGATTGATTGAAAATTGATTTCATTATGAACTTGTGATGCATATTCACCCAACCATCATTTCCATCATCATATCCAGTATCCACCACATATCCTTCCAATCCAAAACCATTCCCTCTCACATTCCCACAGAGTTTTGTGCATCTCAGTAGATAATTGGATTTCGGATGGCTCTCATAGTCCGTATTTCCTGAGTGTATTGTCCTTCTTTACCACTTCCAATTAGTTATGGAATTTTTGCTGTATTTAAATTTTTGTATCTCACCCTCCGATGCTGCTGCTGCTTAAGTTAGTCTTATCGGAATGTGGAAGTTTGGCTGGGTGGCACCGGCAGGACAATACACCAAATACACCCCAGACATTTTTCCCAGGAAATTAAGCCGCTTATGGCCGGGCCATTCGGTTCCTTTTGTTTTTTAATGCTCAGCCATGCTCTCTCTCTCATTCTCCAGTATCAACCATTTCCATTTTTTGGACCAAAAAATATTACTCCGTTTGCCATTCCACTTAAGATTCCGCTGGCCAAGTGCACTTGTGCTGGCCACAAATGGCAATGTTGGCCATGTTGTCTCGTCTCGTCTGTCTCGCGTATTTAGCATAAAAGGTGCGGCCAAGACTTTTGCCAGGGTCTGCGGGCTTTTGATGTTCCCCCAAAAAACCATCATCCTCATCCCCTCACCCTCCTCCGACATTGTTGATATTTTGCATCAAAATTCTGACAAACTTGTTTGGTGGGGGGTAACAGAGTGGCGGTGGGCAGTGGGGGGTTGCCTAGATCCGTAGCGGAAGTGGCGACATTTTAGGATGTCACTCTGAGTTTGAGGTCGCCGCAAAGTGCGCAACACAATTTGCATAATGCCCGGTGGGACGGATGGATGTGGCTGCGGATGTGGATGTGGTGAGTCGTGGTGCATGGGGATACTGAATGCGGTCTCGAATTTGGTCCAAGGTTCGGGTTGCTGCACTGCGGGAAAAGTTGTTAGTTTGTTTTTAAAATAATAACATTTATTGCCAGTCTTAAGTTTTAAAACTACTAAAGGTTGCATTTTGTTTAAACTCTAAAATTAACTAAAAATATCCAAAAATAAAATATCAAATATCCGTTTGATTTTCCCAGTGTATGCAAATGAGAACGGGATGAACAAGCAGGCGGTCCTATCGTTGTTAGTATTGGTTCAGGTCTTGTTCGGACTGTAATATCGTTATTGTTATACCTTACATATCCTAACACATCCCACACACACACATACACATACACGTACACACACAAACTAATAAGACGTCCTGCCCAAGGACACGATGCAGAAGTCGCCGATGACGAGCAAGCTAAAGGGTGTGAAGAAAGCAGAGAAGAAGAAGGCAGAAAAGAAGGATGAGAACCCGCCGGCGAAGAATCAGCTGCAGTGCCTTAACGATTTCGAGATGACCCAAAACGTTGACACTTTGAACCGCCAGATGGATACCTTCTGGAGGCAGGACGTTCGACAGGCAGGATCTAGGTTGGATGGCCTATGGATGCTTCACCACTGTAACTACAACAAGGGACTGGCCTTTACACTGAACGAAAGGAGAGTGTTATCCATTCACGGACTACTCCCGGTGGCAGTGCGAACCATTGATGAACAAGTGTTGGCCTGCTCAAAGATCATCGCCATGTTCCCGAACGACTTGCAGAGGTATGTGTATATGGTGTACTTGTCGCGGCGAAATAGGCGACTTTACTACTACCTATTGATGAGCAATCCCGGTCACTATATTCCCATGATGGATGCCACCGATTCCTTGAAGCTGCTCAAGCTCCATCGGTTGCTACACTCCATTGGCCAGGGTTTATATATCTGCATTAAGGATCTGGGACATATACCTCAAATCCTGGCCAATTGGCCGTATCGATACGTTCGCTGCCTGCTGGTGAGCAATGGAGCTTCGGTTCAGAGTCTGGGTGATATGGGTGTGGATGAAATGCCAGTTCTGTTTTCCAACATTGATCACAACGTGCTCTATGGACGTATCCATCCGAATTTTTGTTTGGCCGTCATGCTGGATGTGGGCACAAACAACGAGAATCTATTGAAGGATCCAGCATACACAGGCCTGAAGGAGCATCGAGCGCCGGACGAACTGTACGATAAGTTCTTTGAGGAATTTACTGTGTCTGTCCTGCAGCAATATGGTTCACATGCCCTGATCCTCTGCAAGGATTTTGAGCCCCAAAAGGCTAAGAAACAATTGGAGCTGTACCGCCATCGCCAGTGCATCGTGGATGTAGATTTCCAGTGCCTGGCTGCAGTTGCTCTCGCCGGCGTTATTGTCTGCGATAGATTGAGGAGGGTCTTCTTTGCCGCCAACATATTCCTGTTCTATGGAGCAGATGCTATTAATATTGGCATGGCTAGATTGTGCATGGCCATGCTAAAAAGAGAAGGTCTCATTGAGATGAAGGCCAGGGAGAGAATATGGTTCTTTGATTCAAAAGGATTGGTGGTCATGAGCAGGACGGATATTTCCGAAGAGCTGTTGGAATTTGCCAATCCTCGAGAGCCCATCACCAGCTTGGTGGAAGCCATCGAGGAATTGAAACCGAATGTCCTCGTTGGTGGTTCTTCACAGCCAAATAGCTTCACCCCCGATGTCCTAAGAGCCATGGAGAAGGTCGCCGCAAAACCTGTGATCTTTGCCTTATCAAGACCCCTCGATAATGCCGAATGTACGGCTGAGAGTGCATTTTCCTATACGAAGGGGCGATGCGTCTTCATTTCGGGGACAAAGCTTCCTCCCCTGAAATATGCGAACAAATGGTACCAGCCGGGTCATTGTACCAGTAGCTATATGGTGCCTGGTATAAGTTGTGGTGTAATGTTTGCCGGATTTACCACCATTCCAGATGAAGCTTTCTGCGTGGCAGCGGAGCGATTGGCTGGCTTGGTTTGGCCCTGCGATCTGGAACAACGCAATTTTTATCCACCGATGAGAAAGATTCAGTGCATCAGCTTACAGATTGCCGAGGCCATATTCACGTACGCCTTTAGACGTGGCTTGGCGACACTCTATCCCCAGCCGGAAAATCCCATGGAGTATATCAAGTCCTGTATGTACACCTCGGAGTACCGCAAGAATATCGTTGATGTGTATTGCATGCAAAATCGTAGTATTGCCACCACGGAATCCCGCAAATACTACCAGCTTAACATCTAAGACCTGTACTTACTTTCGAGACCGTTATTAAATGGACTGAACCAGAGGATTGGGGATTGAGAATTTTGTGGGGATTGAGAAGGGAGAGCGCACTAACTGAGGGGGGCCAAATTGCATGGCGTATCATGTCTAATAACAGTTGTTTGCCCAGTCTGCATATTGATTTCGATTCGAACCAAAGTCGGAGTACAAGTACGCCAGCGGGCAATTAATTGCATGCAATTTTCATGTGTCAACTCATGCTGTGTATGTTCTTCGTATATATACTACACTAGGATAGTATGGTATATGTGTGTGGGGTGTCGTTTTGGCTGGTTTCAGAATTCTCCAGTGACTGCATTCGAAACTATCGCCGTACGACAATAAAATAATTGAAACAACCACCATGAAATGGTAGGAAACATAGCCACAACAAAAATGCAGACAAATTAAATTGCACGAGTTTTCCGTGTGTTCAGTGTATGTATGTGTATGTGTGTGCGTCTGGCTTTGACAGGTGTGCGTCTGAGCGAAAGCATGATATTCCATTCCATTTATCAATACGGAAAATGAAATGCAACCCGGCATTGTGTCGGTTTCCTCTTTTGTCACATTGAATTATTTGCTTAGGTCTTTTTACTGCATTTTTCCGGCTAACGTTTATCGGTTGGCCTTTTGGTCTTTTGGCATCAATGGAGTTTAGTTGGAATTTTCATTAGCCACATATATTTGTACCAATATAACTACTTTGGCCTAAACCTTTTTATAATCTACCACTGATTTTATTGAGCTTAACTTGAAAGGAATTTCTAACACTATGCTGGACCCCAGGAGATGACTTCGTAGCCAATCGTTTTGAGTTCCTGGGCATTGATGGCATGTCCTGAGAGCTCTCGAACAACGCTCTGTACATTTGTTGTGTTCTGATGTTAAAATATTTAAGAACGGAGATTAAAATTAATAATTAATCATAAAATTCGTATTTCTCTTACCCAAGCAGCTTCAGATTTAGTCTTGAACTCCGGGCTTTTTAACGCCTGATAAAATTTAGCAAATATAGAACTTTTCTGTCGTTTCTCATTGATCAAAGCCACAAAACGATCACGAGGCAGGTGTGTTAATACCTCCTGGACAAAGCTGGTGAAAGAACTTAGCTGTCTCTCCTCAAAAATCGGTTCAAGTAGCACCAAAATAATCTGCTCTCCAATAATCTCGTTACCAACAGATCGTCGTACCCTGTTGTTATTTCTGTGATGATATCTATGTTTTTGAATTTTCCCTAAGATCGTATCATTGAGGTGCACGAAATTAATCAGATCCACAACTTCTGGCAGAGATTCGATGCGCTGTTGCAACCTCTTGAAATCAGAACTGCGCAAAAACTTGGCGGCTTTGCGGAAGCCCGAGTCCGTAATCATGTGCTCGGCGACGATTTCATCTATGGTTACAGTGGGAATCAGTTTTTCAAAGTCTTTTAGTTCGCTTATCAGCTCCGGAGAGTATTTATAGCGTCTGTGATAGCGAAAATGTGCCGAACCTAGCACAAGGCTAAGGAACAGGAATTGGAGCACCAGCTGCAAGGCTAACATTTTTAAAGTTTTCTATATTTTTTATTTTAAATCCGCGTAATTTTCCTGTTAATCAATGTTTCTCAGTCAGCGGTCTGTTTATTACTGCTTTTCTTGATAGCAGATTAAAATTTTTTTACGCTGCGCCTGCATTTTGTAGTGTTGTTTTTACCCTTTCCAAATTGGCAGTTTTGGTTTTAATATTAATCTTGTAACCTAATAGGCTAGGAACTTAAGATGCCCTCTATTGTATATGTCATATTAAAAATACATATAATAAAATAAAGATTAAAAGAATAATAATTAAATATCTATAAAAATACATTTATTTTTAAGAGAATATAATTAAAATTAATTAATATTTTAATTGATTATTACATTTGCAAAAAATAAAAATTCACCGCTTCCATCCTCTTCCTACCATTATAGCTTTTTTCAAAAGAGTATTTCATAGTCGACTTATAGACACCAATAATTTTCCAAATACTCTCTTGTTATCGCTCTTTTCTTTTCGCTGACTTTCTGCTCCCCAATAAATTGCTCATTTCAAATAAATAAAGGCCGAGCGGCTCCATGAGCATTCGAAGTCGAGTTCGAATTCGACTAAGAACAGTTGCTTTTGTTTTTTGTTTGCCCCTTTTTACAGTCGCCTCCCCAAATAAAAGACCAAAGACTGATTTGCTTATTAAAGAATCTTATCACATTTATTTACTGCATTTTACTTTTTTATGTGTTTACAACTAATTTGTTTTCTTAATTTGTTTCTGTTTATCTGATTTTGTGGTTTTTGTTTTTCGGAAATATTTCGATAGCTCGTGAACCAATCTGCGTTTGAAATTGTTTTCGAATGGAACCGCGGATTGCGTATATTCGAATGATGGTTAAGCGCAAATCTTCTTTTATTGTATGAATACTTTGTAAAAGTCGTTTATCTATTTATATATATATATCTATATATATATATATATATATATTTACCGCGAATATTTATTTACTTTGTATTAATATTTTTACAGTGAATTGTTCGTTAAGTACTCAATTAATATTAATTTTCATCTTTAATTGCCGCATTGGCAATTTTGATTCAAATTTTCTGCATGTTTTTTCTGAGTTTTCATTTAATTTCCTCTTTTGTTTGCTTTTTTGTTTATTCCTTTCTTTTTTTTACTCAACATCATGTGATTGTCATACAAAACATTTCACATAATCTTTAAATTATTTACAATAAATGTCTGAACGAAAAAACACTACTAAAGGCAACGCAAAAACATTTCATCCATTAAAGTTAGAAGCTCAGAGCATTAGTAGCTTTTAAATATCTGTTGTTTAATAGTTTTTCCTTTTTTTGTTTTTCTTTTTCTCGTTTTGGTTTAGTTCATTTACAATGGCAATGCCAGTATGCAATGCTAAAATGTTTTCTTTATTTTTCCTTTTTTATTCGTTCTTGTGGTTGTTGTTGGGTAAATCCTAAGATGAAAACATTAAAAATTTTTGCAGAGAAAATCTTTAGAAAAATATTTAGAGTGTGTATGAGTGTTCGGGTGTGTGGGTGAGAGTAATGCTTAAGATTTTCTTTCCATTATCCCGTTTTTGTTCTGCTTTTCTGTGGAACAAACCTATTTTGGTTTTGTGGGTTGAGTGAAGCGTTTGGGTTTTCCTTGATTTTTGCTATATTATGGCAGTTTTCGCGGATATAAATATGTTTACTAAATGCAACGAGTTGTGTTTTGAGTTTGTTTATGTTTTTTGTTTATGAACTTCTGCAATATTACTAAAAACATATTTACTTGCCACACCGACTTACCTACGCTATTTACGGGTAAGTAATCTCATGAGCATGTTGGTCTCAATGCAGTAACTTCATGTATCTAGATTTATTTATAATTACGCATATGCATATATATAACTATGTATTGCTTATCGTAAACATTAGGCCAACGCACAATCTATACAAGAGCGAGTTAATGCCAAATACAGAATTCTCAAATTATAAATCAGAGCAACGTAAAACTCAAAATTTATTAACTTATCGTCTAAAGCTCTCCTATGTACAAAGTCACCCTTCGCTATATATAGTTTATATATATATATATAGCCATTATACTGTGCGTCATTTGTTTTCCGTAACTTTATTTCCGTTTCTGGGTTTTGGCTATCGTAATAAGTTGGTTCCGTACTTGTCTATGACCTAAACAGGGGCAGCTAATCGTGTATATATATATATCTTAGGCTAGTTTAGTCGAACAAATATGGCTAAGTAATATACAAATTCGTTTAAGATCTTCCCAACCCCAAACCCGAAATGGCCAAGCGACAAGTTGCCGGAAAATAAAACCAAATCGAAATCAAAATCAAATCGTTGCGCCTCATGAGCTTGGTTAATACTTTTTGCCTTTAGGTCAGATTCTCACTTAGGTGGTTGCAGTTCCATCTGTATCTCTATCTGTATCTGTATCTTTATCTCATTCTGTAGCTGTATCTGTATCCATAACCGTATCTGTTAGATTAACCTTAACCTTAGCTCGAAATAGAAATAGTGTCTTCTGTAAGTGTTTCTCTTTCCTTTTGTTTTGCGTGAGTGTGTTTGTGTGTTTGAGTGTAAAACCGTAATTTCCATTTGACTTATGGCAGGATCCTTTTGCTAGTAACTTTTCTCGTTTACTCCATCTTTGTATATCAGTTAGTTATATGTCGAAAATTATTCAGTTTGACGCTGACAACATCTCAAAACGAAAACGAAAGCATGACCAAAAAACGCATCGAAATTATCGGAAATATTGTCGATTTTAAAAGCTTAAAAATTTCAGTCTTTGTAGTGGTTTTTTTTTCTTTCTTTTTTGTTTGTTTTTTCTCTTTTGTTCTTCATCAGCTCGGCCCTTGTCACATTCCCATAGTTCTCGTCCGCATTTTCCTTGGGTGCTTACTGCATTTCTGCGCCTGGAAAACAGAATAAACACAAATAAAGCAAATATGTTTAGATATATACGACTATATATAGATATATAGAAAGTGAGATTGAGTGGGTAGAAGTGGGAAATGGGTTGGGTTAGAAGGAGGTTTTACTGTGGGTTGTCTTACATGGGCACTCAACTTACATTTACATTTTAACTAGAAACTTTAGAAGCGAGCAAATATGGTAAGCACGAACACGAAAATGTACAATTTGCGGTGGGCGGTGGCCACGCCCTCCGTCGACGACGACAAGAACTCAAAGCTGTACAAGTACTCTGGTTGGGCAGCATCAACAGCAACAGCAACAGCAGCAAGTAGCAGCAGCAGCCAAAAATGGGGTAAGGGGGGATGGACAAAGGACATTTTTGGTTAGATTTCGTCAGGGTCTACTACTACTACTAGAACTACAACTATGGGTTATGCAGGGACAGATGATGATTTTGGATGGGTGTACTGCAAGAAAATACTTATCTAAAATCAAGAATAAATCACAGATGTAATGGTCCAAGTTAATGTTGGAAATGTTAAAGGGTGGCGAAGGATTTTTATTAAAAGTGCCTGAAAGTATGCACCCTTTTTAAAAATTCCCATATTAAGTTTTTTTTGAATATATCTTTGATGTCAGATTGATTTTCTTGCAGTACTTTGATTATGCAGGGACTAAGATAGCATATGTTGTCCTATTTTCTATGTTTGAAGGATACTCACTTCTGGGTCAGACCAAAGCATCATTGCTGAACACATCGTTCACGTGCTTGCCGTTGCTACTGATTGGTCCTGTTTTATCCTTGAGGCCGCATTGCTAATGAAAGCAAAAACCAGAGAGTGGGAGAGAAAAAGAGAGAGAGAGATGGGGAAAACACTTAGATCTCTGCCAGCGAATTACAAAATAATTAAAACTCAAAAAGCACCCCCGCACCTGATGCCGAAAAATTAATTAAAACAATTAACGGCAGCTGGCACAGGCAAGCCAAAAATATATATAATTCCCAGGATACACACCTCCTGTTTGGCCTGCCATTGCTTCATGGCCGATTTGTATTTCTCGAACTCGTTGCACCAGTGCGAGTAGATTTTCTGATAGTCCTGCTTCTGCGACGGCGGCGAGCATCTGAGTGCGGAAAAGTGAACAATAAGTTTTTGACATTTGCGCGGAAATTAGGTTGGAGGGTGGTAGGGTCTTAGGATGGCAGTGCTGCCAATTTAGATATTATTTAGCAATAAAATAATTTAATTTAAATCTTAATTATAAGAAAGATTTGGGGGTAAAGTAGCACTTGGCTGTCGTTTTCATTAAATAATAAAAATAAAATTATTTATCTTGTTGCTATATATATTTTATTATTAGCTATTTTGAAACCCTATTCCAGTTTCCTGGCATCTCCAATTGGCAGCACCGGCTGTATCTGACTTATAATTTTGTAGCTGACTCACCTGTGGGCGTCTACGGTGACGCCGTAGCTGCAGAGCAGGGTGCCATCCAAGTAGCTGTCGTACCGCCCGCCGTCGCCCTCGTTCACAGCCAGAAGGACCAGGCCGCCCTCGTTCGTCTCGATGTATTTGGTGGGCGTGTAGCGGACCTCGTAGCTGCCAGACAGAGATGGGTACACGAGAGATAGGGACAGATGTAGAGAGATGGCTTTTCAGATGGCTGCTGCGATAGCGCAGGGGATTTTCCATTTTCTATTCGCATTGGAAACGCACAATAAAAATCAATATACACTCTGTGTGTGTGTATGTGTGAGTGTGCGAGAGACACACACACAAAGAGAGACTTCGACTATTTGGTTGGAAAAAGTTGAAAGTTTTTCCATTACTTGGGCACCGGCAGCCAGTGTAAACGCCAAAAAGCAGACTTCGAGCGCATTTTAAAGTGTCAATTTACCGCAGCATTGGCACGGCTAAGTGAGATGAAGCGGCGTTTCGTTTACACATTTTCCCTTCCATTATTCGCTTTCAATTTTCCCAAAGATCTGCGTTTCAGATAAACGGGAATGGTATAAGGTTTCCCCCCCGCCACCATCTTTGAAAACTCAAAATACAATGCTTAAAGTTATTTGTTCGAAACTTTTCTCTTTTTGGTTAAAACTGATGGGTTTGGCTTACCATATCATGAAACTGTCAAAGATTTGCAACCGAGCAGAACAATTTGGCTTGGCTAAAATATTTTTCACTCAATTTTGGAATTTATGGAATCGAATTACTATATAGGATACGGGTATATGTGGTTTAGACACTAAGATTTAAGTTTTTAAAGGCGTTAACGAATGAATCAAGCGAATAGAAAATGGTCTTCATAGATATTTATATTCTTAAAATATATAATCATATCTCTCCCAACACTCACCGTCCTTTCTCTGTGGAATGATGGTACCATCGTGTCTGCTTCTTTCTCAGAACCTCCGGCATTTTCACAAAGCAGGAGAGATGCAAAGTTTGGCCATATGAGGAGGTGACTTTCTTTCTCAGCACACTCGTATCGCAGATGCCAGAAGTCTCATTAGCCACATCCTGGAGCAGACCCAGTTGATAAGGTCGGCAGGCGACAACCTCCTTATCCCAACCACAATAGGGATCCGCAACACAGCGGAAACAGCTGTCATATCGCCGAGCACACATGGCAATGTCGATCTGTTTCACCTGATGATCGGTGGCCACGTACAGAGATCCAGTCTTATGGCTTAGGGTCATCTCTCTGATCGGTTCGTTGTGCGCCGAGGCCTCGAATATATCCACCAGATTCGAATGCCTCTGGCCGTAGTGTATAAACTGAACTATCTTGTAGATGTGACCCGAAGTGGTGGCCACAAAGTACACTAGGAACTCCTGGTTCAGCTTGTCGATCCGTATCCTGCGGGAAAAGAAAGGCAAAAAGAAAGCCAAGAAAAAGCAGCGTCAGTGGCAAGCGCTTAACTGAAAACACATCCTGCGGCACTTTGTTCACAAGTTCCGGCCAAGACAAAACATTTTTCGCTGCCAGAACAACTGACAGCACAGAGCCAACCCAGGAGTCTGTGCACTGAGCAAAAAGTAGAGAACTAAAATTGCTATTAAAGTTTTAAAATGAGAAAAATACCATTCCTAACTTAAGCTTACGTAATTAAGAGGAAATAATCCTCTAAAATAAATAAATCTGAAACTCTAGCTTTCATATTTTCTCTCAGTGCAGCCATACATTCTCCTCGACAAATGTCAACAGGGTAACTCCCATGCGACTGGCTCCTTGCCAGACCGACAGACAACTATCAACTGGCAACTGGCTGGAAGCGCTAATGAATACAGTTCTCACTTACTTGTCCACCACCAGCTTGGTGAGTATGACGTCCCGCTTGAAGAAGACCGGATTGCCAAATTCATGATCGACCGCCTTGTCCATTAGCGGATGTTTGCGAATGAAATTCAACACGGAGTCCGGCAGCGTGGCGGTGTCGTTGTGGCAAGTTCCCGGACGTGGCTCTGGCACTTTCGAGTTCAGCACGGGCAACCAGGCGCTGTTCGAGGTGGCCTGCTCCTTGAATTTGCCTGGATGGTGCGAAATATATAGATATATATATATAGATATATGTGTGTATAGAAGGAAGCATCAGTACGGAGTTGAGTTGCGTTGAGTGCCGGGGAATGCTGCATTTAATTTATGTGTGTCAGTACGGTGCGAGTGCTGATTTGTGTGGCACTCGCACTCGGTAAATAAAAATACAATTAAAGAGTCGCAAACGGAGCTTTAATGGTCATGTGAGAAGAGATTTTATGGCAGGGAACTATACAAAAAGACCTATTAATGATTCTCACTAACTTCTACTAAAGAACCTGTAACCTTTTCCTTAAATTTCCCTTTTGGGTTTTCCACATTATTTTCAGCATTTTTGCATAAACATTATCACATGGCAAGTATGAAATACAATTTAAGAATCACATTCTGGCCTTCGAGTGAGGCAGCATAATCGTTTGTGGCCATAATTAATTGCTGTGGCTTTCCACATTCTCTTTTTTTATCACACTCGCTGCTGCTGCTGTCTGTGCAACATGGCCGCAAACTTTTCGTAATGAATTTTAAGTGTATGCCAGATTTTTTGCAGCACTTTGCCCGGTGGCAGTGTCTGTGTGGATCTGTCTGCCCGATTGTCTGCCTGTCAGTCTTGGCACCGCTCCACACTGGCAGCGGGACCCCAACTTTATGGTGTTAATGAACTTTCTGGGCCAAGTTGTTGGGTTAAAACAGAAAAATAACCAGAGTGTTGGCTGTACTACTCATTACTTGCGTAGTTAAAGAAATTTAACTTGAATGTGAGACTCTTTCAATAAAAGAAGGTTGCGGGAAGTGGGTGTGGCGTTCGTCGTACTGCCACCATCAATTCAATGCGCACCATTTAACGCTCAAATTCCAGGGACAAGGCCTCCACCTGTGCGCGTAATTCCATCCGCAGTCGCCGGAGAAAAGGAATCCCCCGGAAGAATTATGGACAGTGCAATAAATCACAAGAGCATCCCTGTACGCACAGATATATATATACACACTGTTTACAGTGAACACTCACCATCGAAGGCCGCATTGATATCCCGGATGTCGTAGCTGCAAACTGCCGATCCAATCAGACCATTCGTATTCGTTGTAAATGTGGCATAGAACTTGGTATCGTCCGTTGGCATCTTGTAGACCGATTGTATCTCGTTGAAGTAGAAGGGAAACTCACTGGAAATGCTGCAGTTCATCCTTGCCTTCAGATAGGTTGCCCAATTCTGGCTGATCATGTACTTTCCACCTCTATCGTTTTTGCAAACTCTAGCTACCCTGGAGTAAACAGCTTTTCCGCAATTTATGTACTCCACGGCATGTTCGCGGAAGAAGAAGTAGACGAACTCGCCAATCTCAAAGGAGCCAACAAAGTTGGGTTCTGTAAAGGAAAGGAGATAGAAATTTGGAATTGATAAACTTATCTTTAAGGATTTTACGAAGGTTAAGCTTAGAAAGAATTCAAATATCAGAAAGTAATCTTTGCAGAATTCAACTTTCTCTTTAAGTTCACTTACTTAAAGTTTAATTTCTAAACAATGTCTTATTTATTTATCAAGTCATTTATTGCCAGAACTTACTGTCTAACAGCTTGGAGTCGTATTTCACGGTTCTCTTAAAGTTGGCCTCCTTCCGTCCGTTGGTCAGGTTGTACAGGTCCGAGCGGAATATGACGGAATCCGCCTTGGTGAACTCTGCATTCGTGCCGGCGTACTGCATTTTTTGTTTTGTTTGAAAAGCGGGAGAAAGGAAAAAGAACAGGACACATACATAGTTAGTAAAGGGCAACTGTTGATAAGGCTCGAACATCACGCATACGCCTAGTAAGCCAAGGCACGCACGCACACAATTACGCATAAAGTGTACGCACGTGCCTCCCTCCCGCTCTATATATGTATGTGTTTTTGTGTATGTCTTTGCTCTAATTTAATTTCAGCTGTTTTATTGCTGCCTTTCTCTCTCTCTCTCTCTGTGTATTTTTCTTTGCCGTCTTTAAAATTTTCTTGCCTCCTTCCATTTCCACAACTTTGCCAACTTCCTTCTTTCAGGGGCCTCGCTTTACTTTTGTAATTTTATTACAATTGACATTTTTCGTTTTATTTGTGCCTTCCTTTATCCTTACTTTTATTCCACTTCCGCTTTTTGGGTCGAACTTACCAGGGCGGGCAGGCCGAAGGGATTTCCGTTCTCCACATAGACGGCGGTTGAGTTGTCAGCAGGATCGTAGGGACACTTGCCAATGCCCAGACCGATGCCGGGCACGTACTGGGATCTGGGTAAATGTGTTAAGTTTGCCTGCGGGGTTGGATGTGGATGTGGGATTCCGGGTGCGGGCGAGCGTTTGGGTTCAGCAAAAAGAGAGCAAAGCGAAAAGCGTATTAGTTGACTTTAATTTTGAACGCCCGCTGGGCTGAAATGAACTTCAAAAACTTGACTGACATTCACAATTAGGCGCATTGATGAAGTCCCTAGAAAATCCTTTTATTTTACATTGAGAAAAAAGGGTTCTTAATAGATTCAGAATACTTAGAACAGAATGACTGTAGGACGTGCCATTTCTTATGGACTGTCTAAAAGTATGCAACAGAACTGTTCTTTCGTATACGTAATTTAAATTGTAAACTTTTATTAAGGCTTTTAAGTTACTTTTACATTATAATTGCCATATTTTAATTTCAGTCATAAGTTTTATCACCTGATTTTCCCTGTGTACTTACATTTATTACGTAATCCTTGGGATTGTGGGCGTTGGTTCCGCAAACATACAGCTTCTGGCCATTAAAGTTCATCGGCTGGATAACCCTTATGTGATTGCGGCACTCCACCTTCTTGTCATGCGCCAGAAAATGCAATTGCATTCGTTTTTGGTTTTTGTTTTGTGTAATTGTAATAAATGTTAGAAAATAATAGTCGCATAAGGAAATCATATGGTGGTTTTTGTGGGTTTCGTGGTTTTCGAAATGCAAATGGAAACACAAATAAAAAAGGGAAAGGCGATGGCATGAGTTAAGTTCACAAATTCGTTGATATTAATAGCAAATTTTGCACATGCTTTGAACAGGGTTTTCAATGGTTAGTAGAAGAAAGCATGACTCACCTCCCGTTTGCCCTTGGAAACACAATTCAGGATATCCGATCCGGTGGGCTCCAATATGAGGACATCGCGCTGGAAGAATGAGAAATGGCATTGGGTTTAAATTTATGTTGGCCAAGTTTATTGAAAGCGTGTCGGAATGCGATGCCGGGGATGTTTCAACCGAGAGCACGCGCCAGAATTTTTGGTAAACTCACTCGCATGTCGCGTTTTTTTTTTTTATATTTTCTTTGTATTCTGTATGTGGCTCACGTTGGACATTTGTTTATTTAATTCGATTTTTTTTTTTTTCGTGGGGAGGCACTTGAATCGAAACCGAATCTCCTTTTCGAGTTTATCTTGGTGGAAATACTTTTGCCTAAGTGAAAGCCACAAATCAATGAGGGTGGTGGAGGAAAAGCCATCGACTGACAATTTTTATGCTTGACATATAGACACAATATCCGGTGCCTCTGTGGATGCACTTTCCACTTTTATTTCCACTTGCCCGAAGTGTCAGTCCCTTTTGGACCGAACTCTAAGTGCTAGGACTTGAAATGGAATTCCTTTTGGCCGCCATCGCCGCCGACGACTACGACGCCGTTCGCACAGAAGTCAGCACAAATAATTGCTGTTAAAAGCATTTGCTACGTCTCAGGAGGTGGCGATAGTGCACTGGGCTCCCTTCTGCAGCTTACAAGGATGAGAAAAAAAAGTGGCGGAAAATGGTTGAACGGACAGAGGCGGATATTGATAGTTGAAGATGGAATCATTAAAGAGCAATTGCTAGCTGTCAGTGACAAGTTGGTCACTCACAAATGCAAAGGCGGAAGGCGGGCCTTAAAGGCACTTGGCCATTTCTTGGGCTGCTATGAGGCCAAGAATTCATTGATTTTAATATCGAAATGTAGAACGGTTATGTATATTAAAAGTAAGTTCATAAAAACTAGTCAATGGAGGGGAAATCAATAAAAAAGTAAGATAAAAATCTTTATGTTTATGGTTTACAAATGCCCCCAAAAGCGTGCTATTCTGATGTAATCTTCGGAGGACATTCTTAGAATGTTGTATTGAGTTAGTTTTAAAAAGTTGGCAGAAAAACTTTGACCTTTATGATGAAGCTAAACCTATTAAAAAAGAGATAACCAAGATACTTGTTTAATTTTCTTACCTCACAAATCGATTGACTGATGTTGCGCAGATTAAGACGAAATATGCGATCCCTGGAAGAGAAAAAAAAAAGGGCAAATAAATGAATTAGCATGGCAAAGAGGAAAACTTTGTCATCCCCTGGCACTCGAGTTAATCCCCGGCTCGTGCCCCCTCATGCGATAAGTTAATGCCACACCAGTTGCCAGCTGTCTGGACGGAGACCCCGTTAAACTTCAGCTCATTGACATTTTTTCAGCTTTTCTTCTGTCTTGAAAAATCGTTGTCAGCCGCTCGCCCACACCGTACACCGCACACGCACACCTGCTGTGCCTGCTGTTCACTGTTCTGAGCTGTCGGTTTGACGGGCCTGCCAGCGTACTTATTGCAGTCAGTGTGCCCTGATTGATTGATATGTCGAATGTGGCAATATTGCCAACCAACCTACCAGCCAGTCAGCCAGTCAGCCATCCAGCCAGACACAACTTAAAGCGCTGCCAGGCAGGCCATCTCTTGCCATTTTCCGGCCACTCGAAACTTTTGCGGCGCCATGGAAAACAAAAGGAATGGGCTAACGGAAAAAGGGGCAGCGGTGGTCTAAAGTGTGTTTTATGTAGTTACTGCCACTGAGTTTTTGGTAGCTTTCCCTCGACAACTGCGAGGCCATTAATCTTCATTTCCCTGCCGGCTCTAGGAGACCGGCAAACGCTGACGAGAGCCGCCAGCTGTGGTTGCGTGGGGTCGTCGGTGGATCGGTGGTTCGGTGGTTCGGGTCTTGGTTCGGTGCTGGCTCTCAAGTCAAGTGGTAATTTTGGTTACTTTGTTTGCCCGCTTTTAGGCGTCCCTCCCTATTACCCTGCCCTTCATCATTATTCTTCAGGCTTTTGGCCCGGACTCCTCCGCAGCCACAAAACTGTGAAAATGCGGCCGTGTTCAACTTGCCGCAGACAAATGAGCAGACGGGTGTGCTCCTTGTCAAATTGCAGAACCCCCTAGACTTTGCCACCAACCATCCCTCTACTTGGGTGGGGCGCATTAATTCATAATTATGTATGCCGACAGTGTGGCCAAGACCCCGTGGAAAAATGAAATATGCAGCCCCAAATGCGTTCGGTTTGCCAAGTAGGGAGCCACATGCTGCCTCAACCGGAACTTTCTAATTGTCTGCAACCGGAAAAGAAAGTTTCCTGAAATTATGGCATATATTTTTCAACATTAAAAGGGTTCGTTTAAGTCCTAAATATTTATTGCAGCCAAAACTAATAGCTATTTGTATTAATAGTTAATTGACTAATTTCAAGGTAAAGGTAAAGGTTGTCTCTTTGGAAGTCTCATCGAAATAGTTTGAAGTTTGGAATAGTTTTATGACCCAATTTGAAATGGTTTACTAACTTAATTATTTATAAGCTAAGAAGGGTGGTAAGTAGAGTATATAGAAGACTACTTACATTGCCCCCACATATAAGGCATTGTTGCGCTCATCCATGTAGAAGGTCTTGTAATGCAGCGGGCCACAGCTGAAGTCCTTGACATGTTCTGGAATGAAGATGAAACAAAGACAAGATTTAGTATACGCAGATATTGATTAACAAAAGTTCGGGCAGTTAATTAATGCCTAATGAAACTGTCAGCAGCAGTTAGAAAGGGCCAACGAAAAAAACAAAATGAACTAATTAAACTATTATAATTTCGGCTCAACAAACAGAAAGTTAATTTATGGGGGACAAGAGTAAATACAACACAGGCTCCTTCTCGTCCATGTCCTTGCACATTTGACACTGACAGTGTCACGTACTCCTGCCAGCTATGTCACGTGCTCAAAGCCGGAGTCCTTACCAGAACCCCCCAACCCCCCAAAAAAAGAGAAAACACAAGTCGAAAAAGTTGCACCGCTGTCAATGTCATTAACAAAAGATTGAGGCATTTAGCTGAAATTTTTACGACATTAAGTTGTCAACTAATTTGGCACAATTAGTGAAACAACAACAAGAACACTGTGTACAAACAAGCCCAGGACAAGCACAAATACACACAGCCACACTCATACTTAAACAAAAGAAAGGACAGTGGGCAAGGACAAGTTTTTATTTTTTGGGCCAAAGCCCCAGCAAATCCTTTGATGGCCGCGCTAAGAGTCATTTGGCTCGCTTCCTTTGTCCTTTTTTTTTGGCCATTCCTACTGGAACTCTGGAATTGGTCATTGGACAACCCTAATGGCCAGTCAACAACAATGGCAGTTAGAAAAGTGATTTCCATAATAATGCATAATGAGTGATAGATACGAAACTGCCTGCCAGTGACCTCATGCAAATTAACCCACATTTCGTCGGTGACTTCTTTTTGGCACAATTCGACCTGAAATTTTCAGGACTTTTGTTATGTTTTCCAAGTACAAGTTAGGCCATTTATAGTAATGGTTGGTATTATCAAGATTGTCTTGGTTTTCCAGGCACTTAGTGATTACCTTTCATTAGAATGGTCCTTAGAATTAAGGATATTCGTTGACTAATGGTTAATGATTAATAAAATGAACAAAGGTAAAAAGGTGTAACTGCAAAGGCAGGCTTTTAGCTGCTTTTCATTTTAATTTTTGACACTAAAATAATCTACATTTTTATATAAATTTTTGGTTTATTTTTAAGATGAGTTTCTTTAGAATACTGAACTGCGGTGTGACAAGGCTAACTGCGACCAGGAAACCTCAAACTGAGCAAAATCAAAATTGCATTCAAAGACGTGCCAACTCCTCACAGGATCCCATTCGGGTCCCTATAGAAATAGTTTTCTCCGACAAGTTTAATAAGGTGAGATATAGTAAGTTATGGATTATAAAGTTAAACTAATGAAATCTTGCTTAGGCCTTGGCATTCACCCTAGAAGAACGTCAGCGATTGTGCATCCATGGCTTACTCCCCGCCTGCGTTCGGACATATGATGAGCAGATGTTGGCCATCCAGTCAAACTTTGAATCCTTCGATACGAATGTGGCAAAGTATCGCTATTTGCGAGCCCTGCGTCAGGGTTACGAACGCTTGTACTTCCAATTTGTATCCAAAAACATAACCAAGGTACTGCCCATTATCTACACGCCCACTGTGGGCTTAGCTTGCACGGTTTACGGAATGTTGTACCGTGGAATGACTGGCATCCATATCACCAAGCACGATCGAGGACATATGAAGCAGGTCCTGTCGAACTGGCCACATCGGAACTCAGTGAAAGCCGTTTGTGTGACGGATGGTGAACGCATCTTGGGATTGGGTGATCTGGGAGCCAATGGCATGGGCATAACCGTGGGCAAAATGGAACTGTACACAGCCTTGGCTGGGATACCACCTTCCACGCTAATGCCAATTTGCTTGGATGTGGGCACCAATAACAAATCTCTCCACGAGGATCCACTGTATATTGGTCTACGGGATGAGCGAATAAAGGGGGATGAGTATATCTCCTTTGTTGATGAGTTCATGGAGTCAGTGGTGGATACCTTTGGCCCTGAGACCCTCATCCATTTCGAGGACTTTGCCACACCCAATGCCTTTATGTTCCTAAACAGATATAAGGATTGCTATTGCCATTTCAATGATGATATCCAGGGAACAGCTGCCGTAGGCTTGGCAGGATTTCTGGGCATCGAAAGGATAACCAAGAAGCCGCTGGAGGAGCACGTCATTGTCTTTGCCGGAGCAGGAAGCGCTATCATGGGTATCTCTCAACTAGTTAAAACGGAACTGATGTCCCGAGGACTCTCCGAAGCTAATGCCGTCAAAAACCTTTATGTTCTCGATCAAACTGGTGTACTAACTAAGGAAAGTAAGAACATTCCGAAAATATTTGCTGACTTTGCCAAGGATATGAAACCAATTAAGACACTCGAGCAGTTGGTGGAGCAAGTCAAGCCTTCGATTATTATGGGAGCCACTGCCTCAGCAGGACTTTTCACCGAGAAAATCATACGCACTATGGCCAAGAATCACGAGCGTCCTGGCATCTTTGCCCTATCCAATCCTACTAATAAATCGGAGTGCACTGCCGAGCAGGCTTACAAGTTCTCAGATGTAAGTGATCTAGAAGGAGCTAATAACATTCTCTTCTTAAACATAATATATCCCAGGGCAAGGCTATCTTCTCGTCTGGTTCCCCTTTTCCGCCAGTGGAGTTCAATGGCAAAAGGCTAACACCTGGCCAGGCCAACAACTGCTTTGCCTATCCGGGCCTGGTTTTGGGCACAATGATAGTCATGGCCACCAGAATGCCTGTAGAGATCTTCCTTTTGGCCGCCCACGAGCTTTCAGATTTTCCAACAGATGAGGACTTAGCAATGGGACGTGTCTATCCGCAGATAATGCAGGCCAATGAAGTGGTTCTTAAAATTGGAATAAAGGTGGCACAGTATCTGATAGAAAATGGTAGGAAACTAACTTCTCTATAACTTTATACTATCTATTTTTTTATAACCTATAACAGGCTATGCTAAACGCTCTTTAGACCCGGACAACCTTGAGGACTGTATCGCAACCGATTCCTATAACCTGGAATATGGATGTTCAATGGCCGAGACTTGGAAGTATCCAAAGATGAGGCCGAATCCATGTCCATCGACCATTCAGAAAAAACCTTGTGACAAAAAGTAGGCGAAAGGCAAATGAAATTTGTTGTTATTTTTAGTTTCAATACGACAATTTCCAAAGTAGTAGTTGAAAAATTTTTAGTTAGTTCAAAGGATATCCAAAGTTATAGCCATGGAACTCCGACGTTTGCATCCGCTTTTACGTCTGCCATTTCGTCCACTTCTGACCTTTTGCCGAAAGATAAATCTCTATGACGATGAAATGGAGCAGGTGGCTCGACCCGATTGGCATCTCGTTATGGATGGAAGACACAATAAGGTGGGTAGATTAACTATTACCTTATGTATACTTCTAATATATATTTTAGGGTCTTGCCTTCTCGATTGAGGAACGGCAACGTCTCGGCATTTTGGGTTTAATGCCGTGCACCGTGCGATCTATGGAAAACCAGATGAAGGCGGCTGCTACCAACTTTAAGGCCAGAACTTCTCCTATTGCCCAGTTTTCCTATCTGAATGCAGTTCATCATCGACACAGGCGTCTTTACTATCGTTTCGTTAGGGAGAACATCGAAGAGGCACTGCCCATTGTTTATACCCCAACGGTGGGTGATGTGGTTGCCACCTATGGATTGAACTTCCAGCATGCCTCAAGTATGTTCATTAGCATTTACGACAAAGGTCATATCAAGGATGTGCTGCACAATTGGATCGAAAACGATGTGAAAGCCATATGTGTGACAGATGGTGGAAGGGTTCTGGGCTTGGGTGATATGGGAGCCAATGCCATGGGCATTAGTTTGGGTAAAATGGTCTTGTACACGGCACTAGGTGGCATTCCACCAAGTTCCCTATTGCCCGTTTGCCTGGATGTGGGCACGGATAATGAAAATCTGCTGCAGGATCCTCTCTATGTGGGTGCACGGATTCCCAGGGTTAAGGGTGCAGAGTACGATGAACTGGTGGATGAGTTCATGCAGGCGGCCATAAAATGTTTCGGACCCCATACCTTTATTCATTTCGAGGACTTTGCCACGCCGAATGCCCTGAAGTTCTTGGATAAGTATCAGTACAAATACTGTTGCTTCAACGATGACATCCAGGGAACTGGTGCCACTGGCCTGGCGGCATTCATCAATGTGGAACGCATAACGGGGATTAAGTTGGAGGATACTGTGTTCGTGTTCGTGGGTGCAGGGAGTGCTTCTCTGGGTATAGCCAATATGCTGATAATGGAACTGGAAGTTAGGGGCTTGTCACCTGAGGAGGCAACCAAAAATGTTTATCTCATGGATGCCAACGGCGTGGTGACGGAGGATAGTCCAAATCCACCGGCGCAAGCCAAGAGATTTTTGAAATCCATGGAACCTATCAAGGATCTCATGTCAGTGCTGGATAAGCTTAAGCCTTCTGTACTTGTTGGAGCCACTGGTGTTGGCGGAATTTTCACTGAAGAAGTGCTGAAAACTATGGCTAAGAACCATGAACGTCCAGCGGTCTTTGCCCTCTCGAATCCAACCTCTAATTCGGAGTGCACCGCCGAAGAGGCCTTCACACACACTGAGGTTAGTTTTTCTGATTTTTAAGTTATATTTTATATATAATTTACTATATAGGGTCGCGTTCTCTTCGGTTCCGGTTCACCTTTTCCTCCCGTGGTGATCAATGGCAAGCGGTTCACCCCTACGCAGGCCAACAACTGCTTAACTTTTCCTGGCATCGCATTGGCTGCCATTGTTACCAAGGCAAAGCACCTGCCTAATGAAGTATTTTCCGTTGTGTCCCATGAGCTGGCCAACAACACTACAGAGGAGCAACTGGAGCAAGGCACCCTGTTTCCAACCATCAAAGATGCCAGCCAGGTGGCCTTCAATGTGGGCGTAGCCACGGCTCAATATCTGTTTGATAATGGTAGGAGCTTCTCTTATAGTTTTAAAACCGATTTGTTAACCTCTTATATATTCTTTCAGATCTTTCCAATTTCAATCCCAAGCCCGAAGATGTCTGTGAATTTGTGAAGAAATCCCAGTACTCCTTCGAGTACCGCAACTCCCTGTCACCCACTTGGACTTACCCAAAGCAACCACAGGCACCGAAAACGAAACCTAAACCTGAGCCCGAACCCAAGGAGGAGAAGGAAAAGTGAACTTGAACGGATTTCTTTGTATTTTTATGAATGTTACTGACTTGTTTTTAAGCTGAAAAAGAAACTTGTGTAATTAGTTGGAAAAACAAAAAGGAAAATGGAGATTCACAGGACCTACACACACACACACACACACACACACATACACTCACGAACTGGCACGATAAATGCTCGACATTTTAACGTTATTATTGTCCTGTCAACGGGAAGCCAGTTGACATGCTCGTGCGCCTGTGTGTGTGTATCCTGCTGATTTGCATATAAAATAGGACGAAATGTCTGCTCACCAAAAATGTCAATCAATTTCCTTGCCTCCTTTGGCCTCCTTTTTTTCCACATTTTCTTTTTTTATGCTTTTTTTAGAGCAGAGCGAGAGGGGAGATGAGGACGTGCATGCATTAAAAAGCAATTGGTGTTAAAAGAGCAGTCAGGCGGCAGTCGCACGTTGTCTGCCTGTCTATCAGTTTGGCATTGGCATGTGCCCCTCTCCGAGCTCCTCTCGGTTTTCCCCCCTTACGAGAAGAGCTTTTCCTCTACGGCAAGAAACTTGCCCCTAGCCGATTTCCAGCACTCTGCCGCTTTTCCCGCTTTCCCGATCGAAAGAAGCCACAGCAAAAATGGAAGCAACAGAAATGCGAAATCATTTCCCTCGACTGACAGCTGTCAAAATATTTGCTCTCTGTCGATGGCTCTGCGTGGCTTCTCCTGCTGCTCCTTCTGCTGCCTCTGCTGTGTCCTTGTCCTCTGTAAATTTCATTTTAATATTCATTACTTCACACTTAACACTCGGCGAAAAACCCCTCCAATGGTGACCACATTCGGTTCTTTAATCGATGGTTGGGAAAACTTTAAGAGCCACAAGCTAAACCGGAGAGAAGAAGAACAGATCTTGAGGCGACGGTCGGTCGGTTTTCGTTACGGTTAGCCTGGCTTATGGAATTTAATTGGCCATAAAAATGTATGCGGCTTGTTGAACGTGGCAAGCTGTAGCCGTAAATCGTAAATTTCCCTCTTGCCACACTTTTCCACATCGATTTACGCCCCACGATAAGGCTCTAAATTTAAATGCCAGCGGCAAAGGTTAAGGGTTTTCGTTTTTTTTCCTGTGTTTTCCGCTCGAGGATAAAGATTATATGATGCGTCAGCATATAAATTATAGGCCAGATAAACCAGATAAACGGCAGCTAAACAAAGTCAGTCAGGGAAACTTAAGGTTTTCCCTTCTTTATGTTTTATGCTTATAAGCACGTCTGTACTTTGGACATAAAAGTTTTTTTAAAATGACAAATATATGGCCGAAAGGCAAATAAATATGAAAAGCTTAACTGTTTTACAGCAACTTAAATATTTATATTGAATTTGTTTTCATGGTAAACAATATTTGATTAGGTTTTCTTAGTAAACCATTTCATATTTACTTTCAGCAAATGTTTTCTCAGCAATCATTGCCTTGACTAACAGTGTTTTCCCTGGCAATTAATTGAAGGTTTTCTTTTTTTTTTTTTTTGGTAGACCTCAATTTGAATTGGTTTGTGCTTAAGCCTCAGTGTTATCTATCTGGCCAAGTTTAAGCCCCAACCAAATGGGTCAAAGTTGTGGGGGCCAAAGCTCACTTGACTGTGCTCAGTCGATAAGTAGCCCCAATAAACACAAAAGTCTACTCAGCCTGGCCTCTCTGTTGCTGCTCGCCGACCGCTACTTCATCTTTTTGAAGATTTTCATTTATCTGCTGGCCAAGATAAAACAGCCAGCCAGGCCAAAAAGAAAGAAAGCGAGGCAAAAAAATATATACAGTTGAAAGCAAAACGAAAGAAAGCGGCACTTAAATCCATTTAAGCGAATTTTTCAAGCATTAAATTTGCGTTTACGTTACGTATACTTAACTTCCAATGGCAACGGAGGTATGGTGGGTGTGGTTTGAGTTTTGGAAAATGGTAATGGCAAGGAAGCTGCGGAGGTGAAGGACGAAAGTCTGAGGCTGGCAGCAGGTAAATGAAAAATTTGCCTTCTTTTTTGCTGGTGTGGCGCGGGGAGTTCCAAATGTATTTTGCATCATTTGTCTTAGCCAGGCCAAGGATCTCAGTCCCTATCTTTTGCAAACCACCCACTGAAACACACACACACACACACATACACATATATATATACGTGGAAAACACCTGCCTTTTTCATATGGTCACAGTTTTTGGTCTGCACTTTTGTTTCACACTCTCTCCATATGAAAATGGTGGTTTTTCTCGCCTCCTACACCGCATATAGTCAACAGTTTTGTTTGGCTGCGACTGCTTCCATTGTTGGGTTTTTGCGGCCATGTAAATGCCCTACCACGCCCACCTCCCCCTCGAAATTGTTGTTGTTATTGTTGTTGTGGGGAATTTTTTTCTTATCTTCACTTTGCATGCCGCACAGTGTTTTCCCTTCGGTTTTTCCTCTTCTCTCGCATTCTTTTTTCCAGACGAACTGAGTCAGCACTTAATTTTTATTTGATTCTGTCTCAGTTGCGTTGCGGTTGCTTGACTTGGCCTCACTTTACTTTACTTCAGTTCACCGTAAATTGGAGACGAGTGCCAGGCAGTGCGTAATTTTTTATGGCGTTAATTTAACAATGATTGGCTTTTCAACGGCCCAGAAAGGGAAAACCTAAAAAACTGTACTGCTAAGTCAGGGTTTTCTTTAAGACAAAAATGAAATGAAACATTCTTGGGACTGCCAAGACTAAACTTCTTACCCAAAATCATAACAAAACCATCGATAAAATCATCTGGTTATAAACCAGATTTCGTTCGTGGGCATTAGGTACTTCTGTGGATCTGGAAATATGTTAAATCTTGGCCATGCATCAAGCTTATCTCGCCTCGAGCAGCTGAAACTGTCGCACAAATCTCGAAGCCATTTGCCAATGTCCTGGTCCACCTGCACACTCGTTACATATATAAATATGTGTTCGATATTTAACAGCTTCCAGTCGAATGCGCCGGGTAAAATGTGGACAATCAGCAGGAGCAGGAGCAGGAGCAGGAGCAGGAGCAGAGAGATGGCCAGAGACGTTGGCGATGCAGACGAGACACATGTATGCAAAGTGAACTGCGGCCAATGTTGGCCAGGCTTAAATTTGGCTCTGGCTTTAGGGCAAGTTTGCTCAGCGAGCTGGCTCACGGGACAAGTACAAATAGTAGCTGCACTGAGGGAAAATGTGTAGTAAGTTGATTAGGTTTTAGATAAATGGGAGATTGGAAAGCGTTTAAAGAAATATTTTAGTCGAAAAGTTAGAGGTTTCAGACTTTTGTTCCACATTTTAGAGTCCTTAGTATGTAGATTAGTCCATGAAAGGATAAGACAACTTCCCAAGACCTAACAAATACAGGGTACTAAGATGGAATCCCCTTAAAAAACTTAGATAAATCCTATTACCCTGTAAGTTGCCCACCTTATTAATGGTAATGCACCATTATTATAGTTTTTTTTCTTCTGTGTGTGCTGTAAAAATCCAATAAGGTAAACGGCAAACAGCCTGCGATGTGCCAGTGTGTGTGAGTGTGTTTGTGTAAGCACCTGGCATTTGTGTTGAGCACGTTCGTACCTTATGTGGGATTTAGTTTAGACTTCATTTTACTGCGCTGCGCTTTTGGTTTCATTCCCTCTGTCTCTCTTCACGCTCTCTTTGCCCTTCTTTATGCCACTTTATGATGGCAGAGCAGTAAAAAAGAGAGAAAGAAATTGGGCGGGAGGGGGCTTTGGTATGAAAGGGGGTCGGATAGTATAGTAAAAATAAAGCCATAGACATGGCTGGCACCGGCACTTCAGTCCCCTGCAGGCTCACCAGGACTACTCTCCTGGATGTGTCCTGAAAAGCTAGACAATGCTGTAATCTAGAAACACAAACGTGCAATTCTCTGCTCACTGTAAATGTGGTTGAGAGCACACACCATACACACATGTTTGTATGTGTATTCTTGCACACTCTCGACACGAAATGGCGTGGGAATATATTACAAGTTGGTTTACAAGGGAAGTATGTCAGTGGCTTCGGGAGAAGTAAAAGGAAAAGCCAGGAGAAGAAAAAAAGAAAACGAGATAGAGAGCAACCTTAAAGCACTCAACTAGTATACAATTTTTAAAGCCAAATCCCCGGGGGGATCTCAAAGCTGGTCAAAAATTGAGGCAACATAATTCAGCGGATGAGTTTTACGACTTCATCGGAAGCTGCTACTGCAGTTGCAACATGCAGCAGCGAGAGGAAACATTAGCAAGTCTAGACACCTACGTCATGCGTCAGCAACACTGAAGGAAAAGCCAAAAAAAAAAGGACGTGCAGCGGCAGCAGCAGGGCCAAAAGGATATGTACTCGAACGAAAGGAGCCGGAAAACTGAGAAAACTGGGAAAAAATGAGACGTCAAGCAGACGATGAAGTCGACGTGGTCTGACAGCCAGCCATACAGACAGACAGCCAGCGAGCGAACTCCCGAAAGGATCTGCAGAGGCAAAAGGAGGAGCAGAAACAGGACCAGGACCAGGACCAAGACCACCAGGAGCATTTGAACCTCTTGGCTTGTTTAATATGCTGAAAAATACGCGTCTCGACTTACTTCTGCCCGAATTTTCCTCTCACCCCCAAAACCTCTCTTCCTTTCTTCCACTTGGAATGCATTTCCGAGTTTTACATTTCCATTTCAATGTAACGACACATGTATTTGTGGTAAGAGCTTATGGGAAAACCCAAAAGAGGTGGAGATGTTGAAAGTGCAATGTAGAGTAAAGACGAGAAAATCCCGGAAAGTGGGTGGCCGCCTAACATTTCCCCTGGAATTCATCAAGCGATTTGCACTTTGAAGCGTTTTTAATTACAGCACATAATTGGAATTCGATATCAAACCGCGTCGGGGTCACCACCTGAAATTACAACAAACAACAGAGTCAACACCGTGGTTCGAGCGTGTGGCGAAACTTTCCAGCAGTATGATAAAAATTTTCCAATTACCAATTTTACATATTTCAAAGCGCCCGCATAAATATTTATGGCGAAAATTTATGAAAACTAAACGTGAGTGCCACACTATGGCAAAGTGGATAGTATTCGCTTAGATGCAAGTC